ATCTCAACCAAAATTGGTGCTTGAAGGAAATTAAAAACCTCGAGCTTTTCTTAATGGAGGGGATCATTTGAAGCAAACAATGCGGTTGGGAGATCCAAATGACTTATCTCTCAAAGAAAAGCTGAGCGAGTATTCTTTCAGCAAAGAGAACATGGAAAAATCATTCCAGTATGCATTGAAAGCGAGTCTTCAGTTGCCAGAATGCAAAAATCCTAAGGAGGCTAATCCTTATAATTTTAATTTTATTTTTGAAGATTATCTAGTAATTTATGTTAGAGTTGTATGTGCTGATTATATAAAAATCTCATTGTTGTAAAATCTTTGAAGTATTTGGGATACATACTGAGCTTCTAAGTTATTTTGATGATTCAAGCGTCGATAACCCCATGGTTTGGTGCCTGATGAGAGTGGTGCCACTAACCTCTTATATTTCCAAGAGTGATAGTTTTCTTATATTATAACATAGTAAATCTTATTGCTTGATGATTAGATGGATGCTTCAATGCCAAAATTTTGGTTGATGCAACTACAAGTTATGGAGAGGCTTTTTAAAGCTTAGTCAATTTTCACAAGTTGTACATGAATTATTGCTCGATTTAGTTAAGATTTTATAATTCGAATTTCTCTGAAAATTCTTTCATGTGGTCCTTCATAATTCAATAAGTGAAGCATTCTATGGTAATTTTCTTTGCACTTATGCCAAGGATGTGCTTGACATTGGTAATTTTTCTCATTAATTTAGTTTCATTCAAATAATCGAGTCGTTTGATGATTATACTTCTTTTGTGTTACAAGAACGCGGATTCATAATGCTGACCTTTAACTAGTTTGGGTACGGTTAATACTGGTCTTGATGATGATGCAAATTTTGGTTGAAGTTTTTAAACATGCCTATTTATTTGTTGGTAACATCAAGCCCCATCAAAATATGACATGATTATTTGTTTCATTTTTCAAGTTTTTTCCTTAATTATACTTGTTGCTTTATCAAGACCACTTTTAAGTTTTACAGTCATAAAGAGGACCAGGGATCATTATTAATGAATACTGCCAATGATCTAGTGGCTATTGGTTACATTAAATGAGTTTTTGGTTGAGTTTTTGTGAAATTTGTTTATGGGAGGGCTAAGAAGAAACTTTGTATGCTTGGAAGGATCTGCATATAATTTTTGATCTAGAGAAAATTCAATTAGCCTTGCAAAATAATTTTCTTTATCAATTGTCAAATTAGAACACAAATCGTCTATTCATTTTATAAAAATTGCGTCATAAGGGTAGGACTAAATAATTTAAATTCAGAGTTAAAAAACAATCTTATTTAAAAATAAATTTAATCCTAATAAAATATTTAAATTTAAATATATTATTACTAGAGAGGGTAATTAAAATTAATTACAACAACAATAACAAGCCTTTATCCTAGGGGTCGCCTACATGAATCATTTTTTTCCATTGTGTTATGTTAAGAGTTAAATTCTTAAGAGAATTAAAATTAATTAAATTAATAAAATTAAAAACATAGAAATTCTATAAAAAATAGAAACAAAATGAAATGCATGTGAACAAGCATTATTCAGCATTTTTGTGTCTAGTTTGGCTCATTATAATTGGCTTATGGCAAAAATGATTTGAATTGATTAGTTGCTTGTATTGCATGAACTCCCCAACATGCAAAGATCTCTTCTCTATAGAGTTAGGATCCGTGTGGTCATCCAAGAGATCAGGCACTAGCTTTTGTTGGGCTCATCATTCGCCATTCATATATCTTATGAGGGAGATTTATTACTTTACCAGTCATCATTTTTTTCCTAGAATCATGTCATCTGCCACTCTCAACATGGCAGGCATGTAGAAACATAATGATTGCTGAACATTTTTAAAATAAATCTCCCCTATGTAAGAATTAACAAACTATTATTGAGGTTTGATTTTTTTTCATCAAGGCAATCAATGTACCTTCAATGTTGAAATTATGGCTTATAAATACATCTAGAGAAAAATATAAAACAAAAGTGTTAGAATAGATTTTCCTACTTGGAAAGAACCATCGACCGTTGCATGCAATTTATTATATTTTATTTTGTGAGTGTTCAGGATGTGTATTCTACAAAGTGACGGTGACATAGATGGGGATATTATTAGTAGAATTCAAGTTGGATGGTTGAAGTGGAGGAATGCTTCGGGTTTTCTGGGTGATAGAAAAGTGCTACTCAATCTTAAGGGAAAATTTTATAAGATGGTGTTGAGACCTGTAATGATTTATGTCGCATAATATTGGCCATTAAAAGAGAAGCACAATATTAAGTTGAAGGTTGCTGAGATGAGGATGCTCAGGTGGATGAGTGGACTTACTCTTAGAGACATGATATGAAACGAGCATATCTGGGAAAAGGTTGGAGTAGTTCCAGTGACAAATAAGATTAGAGAGAGTCTCCTTAGATGGTTGGGTCATGTAAAACATTAGCGAGAGTAGATATTTTAGATTTGGCTTATGTGAAGAAAGGTAAAGGTAGACCTAAAAAGACTTGATTAGAAAATATTAGAAATGATCTTTCTTTATTAGATTTAAATGAGAAATTGTCTCTCAATAGGACACAATGGAGAAAAAAGATTCATGTAGCTGACCCCACGTAGTGGGATAATGACTTGATGTTGTTTTTGTCGCAGTGTTCAGGATGTGTATGAATCTTGACAAATTCAGTCATATGTACTCTCAAGAAAATTTCTTAACATTAACTATGTCTTAGCACCCTAAATGAAAATAAAGATTTCTATTTCTATCGGCGTATTAGTAAAACCTAAGTTAGAGAGACTTTTAAAAAAATGAAGTGTGGAAAAGCTGTTGGACCGGATGATATCCCAATAGAGGTGTGGAAATGTTTAGGAGATGGAGTTTCTTGGCTTACTAAACTTTTTAATACTGTTTTGATGACTAAAAAGATGTCAGATGAGTGGAGAATGAGTGTGTTAATTCCTATTTTTAAGAATAAAGGTGATGCACAAGATTGTGCGAATTATAGAGGAATTAAGTTAATGTGTCATACTTTAAAACTATGGGAGCGAGTTATGGAGCATAGGTTGCGGTGTGATACTAATGTTTCTCAAAATCAATTTGGATTCATGCCAGGTAGGTTTACTATGGAAGCCATACATTTGCTGAGAGGTTTGATGGAGAAATATAGAGAGAATAAGAAGGATCTACATATGATATTTATTAATTTAGAGAAAGCATATGATGAAGTTCCAAGAGAAGTTCTATGGAGTATTCTAGAAAAGAAAGGAGTTACCAACGCTTTTATTCAAATCATTAAAGATATATATGCAGGAGTTATTACTTGTGTTCAAACACAAGGTGGTTTGACCAAGTATTTTCCTATTTCGGTTGGATTACATCAAGGATCAGCCTTAAGTCCATATCTTTTTTTCTTTAGTCATGGATGTTCTCACTAAACATTTGCAAGAGGATGTACCTTTGTGCATGCTTTTTGCAGATGATATTCTTCTTGTTGATAGGACTAGAGAGGGAGTTGAAGGTAAACTTGAATTATGGAGGTCAACCTTAGAGTCTAATGGTTTTTGCTTGAGTAGATCTAAAACTGAATATATGGAGTGTAATTTTATTAGCAATAGACCTAGTGAGGGGATTGTGGCTTTGGATGATCAAGTCATTAATAAGAGTACACGTTTTAGATATCTTGAATCTATTGTTCAGAGTGATGGTGAAATAGATGGGGATATTATCAACAAATTCAAGTTGGACGATTGAAGTGGATGAATGCATCGGGCTTGTTGTGTGATAGAAAAGTCCCCCTCAAACTTAAGGGAATGTTTTATAAGATGGTGGTGAGACCTGCAATGCTTTATGGTGCCGAATGTTGGCCATTAAAAGAGAAGCATAATACTAAGTTAAGTGTTGCAGAGATGAGGATGCTCAGTTGGATGAGTGGCTTTACCCTTAGAGATAGGATACGAAATGAGCATATACGTGAAAAGGTTGGAGTAGCTCCAGTGGAAGATTAGATTAAAGAGAGTCATCTTTAGATGGTTTGGTCACATAAAACAGCGGCCTTTCGATGGCCCGGTTAGGAAAATAGAGGTATTAGATTTGATTTATGTTAAGAAAGGTAGAGGTAGACCTAAATAGACTTGGTTAGAAAATATTAGAAATGATCTTTCTTTATTAGATTTAAACGAGAATTTGACTTTTAACAGGACATAATGGAGAAAAAAGATTCATGTAGCCGACCTCACGTAGTTGGACAATGTCTTGATGTTGTTGTTATTGTTATAACAATGTCTTAAGATTTCATATTTTGAAATTTACGATGGTTTCTAACTTCAATAGATAATCATTTATATAATATATTGTGCAAATGATGCATTAAAATTAGAATATATACACAGTGCTAGAGGCAAAGATTTATAGGCTTTTTTGTTTGTTCTTTCTTGAACAATCTTAAAATGTTTATTGTCTATATATTTAGATATAGTTTTGTTGTTAGTAGAAATATTCAGATTTCAATTCTTTTTTTAACTTGACATCATACTAGATCCTAGAATTTTATTTCCTATCCTAGTTTGACCATTAAGTTTTGGGTGATAGGCAAATGAAGACATATGAGTGGAATCCAACAATTTCCATAGGGTCTTTGAAGTCGACCCTATTGTGGTCGTTAGTTGGTCTATGGCCAATTGGACTTTTGCATGCTTGTTTAACTTGATTCTTGGTTTGTACTGCATCACTTATAGGTGCAAACAGTTGCTTGCTGATATTAATTTTATGCTCTGTTCGACCTATTTGTTGTTTATCATGCAATCTGGAATGTGCATGTTTTATTGCCAACACAATATATCTTTATTTCAGAATGACCATTTATGTTCAGTGGAATACTTCTACTAATATGTTTACTAATTGATTTTATTTTGGCTTCTGCGAAAGGTTATGCTAAAACTACTTATCATTTAATATGCTGATTTACATTTCACTTTACCATTTGCAGATTATTTTTCTTCTTCGGCTTGTTCCTTTACTTCCATTCAATATGTTAAATTACCTCCTGTCTGTTACTCCAGTTGGCATTTGGGAGTACATTATGGCTTCATGGCTTGGAATGATGGTATACCTTTTTTTTTCTTTTTCATGCTAGCTAAAGGATTGGGTTGACTTTCAAATTGTTAATATATGGTATTAATTGACAAATTTTTCTTTATGATATTTTGGAACATCATGCTTTGTCTGGTTGCTTTGATTTTGAATTCCTCAAATGAATTGAAAACTCAAGTGGCTTGTCTGGTTTTACCAAGTTAGCACAACCAAGTTTCTCATTCCTTCAATGTAATAAGGTGGCACGGAACACTCTAGATGTGTTTGGAAGAACTTTTAATTTATGTAGCGGTAAAGTATCACATATTTTCTTTTATTGTACACCTACATTCACGTGAGAAAAGAAAGTGATGGAAACCTGTTAACGTAAACTGATTTTAACCTGCTATAAGTAGCCATTTGAAATTAAATGTGTTACTCCATTTGATTTAAAAAAAAAAAAAAAACATTTAAAAAAATGTTATACAGTTGCTTGGCACCTTTATTGTGTATTCACTGATTCATCCAAAAATGATAGTTTTACTTGGTATGATTTGCTTATTATTGGAAACCTGCCCATGCCTTTCCCACAAAGAAGCAAATTGGAGTTGTGGGTTGGGGGTGGAGAGCAACTTATTATACTTGGATAGAACATCATCACCCTCTCAAGTATTCTGGTTTTACAAAATGATGGTTTTCTTTATGCTTTATTATGATGTGTAGTTGATTTTCATATGCATAAATAGCTTATCATATTTGGCTATGTGAATTATATATGCTTATTCAGATGCTTTTAAAACAAAAACGATTAGGATTATTTAATTAAAAAACTGTTTGTTTTATCATGGGGCAGAGTCTTACTGCAGCTTATATTACTTGATTACACATTTTCTTTACGCCCTTTCCATTCTAACCTCCTTGAAAAGTTGACTTGGCTTTTCTCCTTCAGCGCAGTTCCACTGAGCAAAATTAGATTCAGCCCATCTTCAGTGCAAAAAGATTTTATCTGCAGTAGCTATAAAATATTCATTTAATTATGTAGCTGATGTTAATTTTTTTTTCCTAACAGCCAATCACTCTGGCACTTGTTTATGTTGGAACAACTCTAAAAGACCTCACTGATGTGACCCACGGGTGGAATAAAATCTCTCCTTCTAGATGGGTAAGATTTCGTTGTCATTTATAATTCAGCTTAGTTTTAGGTTTTAGGGAGAAAAATCATCCATTAATATAGTCTATTTTTTTATATGATTGTTATTTCTTTTGGCAAGTGCTTTTCATTCATTTTCAATAGAACCTTGAAATTATGCACTTATGACAAAAATCTTTAGTCCTAAAATGTAAATTTCTTGTTCATTTTTCTAACGGAATAGAATATTATGTTACTTGATGTTTTGATACCAACTTCCAATACTCAGGACGATTGGTTTTGATCTCCATGTGGGATGAACTAAATTCGTTTATCTTATTGTCTTCTAGTTGCTCCATTCCTAGATTTTAGAATCAGAAATCTCACATTATTTATCCCTTTGGTCAGCCAAAAATATGCATAGACATAGTTACTTTTATGTAAATAGAAAAATGCATGTGTTTAGGAACATAATCAAGCCAAGCTGAGCTGAGCACACTGGAGATTGGATATGTCTTGGTCGTACTACAAGCTGTTCAAGTTTGGCTTGAGCTCCACCAATGTTTAAAATTGCGTATTAGGATATTGAGGCGTTTTTCATTCGTGAGGCAAGGCGTAAGCCTCAAGGCGTTTTGAGGCGTAAGCCTCAAAATCAAAAGATTGCGTAAACATAAAATGATAAATTTTTTTTTTATAATAATGAGTGAATAATATAAAATATAAAAAACCATAAGATATGAAGTGAAATCAAAATATCTCAATAATAAGACAACATGAAATATAGTTCAACTCAAAATTCTATCTTTCCCAAATCCCAGTATTCTTTTCATTAACATATAATTTTAATTTCCAAAAATAAATAACAATGACATATTACATAAGAACTCACAAGTCATCAGCACTGTCATCACTAAGGGTTTCTTCATTTGAATCATCATTATAGTGAATTTCTCTCTCCCCTTCCTCCTCTCATATAGAGTCTAATGTCGGGCATTTACTTCAAGATTTATGTAAGTTTTAATATATATAGCATGAGGCGTAAGCCTCATGCAGTTGAGGCGAGGCGGGCCTCAATCAAGTTGAGGCGCAAGCCTCATAAAAAAAACCTCGAGGCGTAAGCATCGCGGCGTTTTTTACTGGAATTGCGCAAAGGCGGGCCTTAAGGTGAGCCTCATATTGCGCAATTTTAAACCATGAGCTCCACTCGAAATCTCACATCTGTTCATACGTAGCTTGTTCAAAATTTTCTATAATTGAGCTTGGCTTGTTCTAAGCTTACTTACATGAATTGAACATGTACTTAAATGAGCTAACAAACGAGCTTAAAGATTGGAAGAGAACTTGGATGTCATTTTAATAAATAATTTTTTAGTTTTAAATGAACAAGTAATTTAATAAAATTAAAAAATTTTTTGAATTACTTGACACTAGTTAAATAAGAATTAATTAAACAAAATAATAAACTAGCTTTAAACGAGATAATAAACTTTTTGTGAACAAGCTTTGTTGCAGTCATATAATATAAGCAAGCTTGTTCATTGAAATAGGGAAATAAGAAATGATTGCAGAACAGAAACTTTAAACAAGCATAAATGTTCAAAACAAGTATTATATTCATGAACAAAATTTGAAAATTCAATAATCGTAAGTCATAACTCATATTTCCTAAAACTTAATAGTGTATCAAATTAATATGCATATTAACTAATCATGGGTTAATTAATTTGGAAAATCATAAAATTAAAAATAATCATAAATATTTACTTGGAGAAGCAACATTCATGGGAAACATGTTTACAGCAACTCAATAAAATGGTTGTATAACTATGATCTTATAAAAGTTGAGTATTTACCACAGTTAAGAAAGTCAATATAGGCATCATCCATTCAAATTGAAATAAATCATTCCGCACCATTGTGGACACACTCGTTCATTGTATACATTATTATGGATATGTAATTCCTGAAAAAGGAGTTCTGGCGGACACAATCTCACGCTAGGGACGTTCTTCGACAAGCTGCTGGCATTGTCGATAGGATATAGCTATTTTTTGATTTAGGAATTCATACCCTCTTGCAACAACAGTTTTTTTTTTGATCGGAGAGAAAAGAACTTGTTGGCCCCGTAGAATTGCGGTCGACCACCGATCGACTACGGAATCGAGGTCCTCTTCCCTGGCTTCGTCTTCGTCATCTATTACTGTTGTCGTCGAACCTCTTCTTCTCCAGCAAGATTCACTCCAAAAGCTGTAGTACAGAACCTCCAGTTTCCACAAAACCTGTCCAACCTGCCACAAAGATTCTTCTATGTTTTCCAATCGACTGCACTAGCCAAATAAGTGTCGTTTCAACAAACTAACATGGTGCAAAATTCCTTCTAAGAAGACTTGGGAGCTGACATTTTCTCCCATAAAAATCAAGAAGTTGCTATCAGCATATTTTAGTCACCAATAACCATTTCTTGGTCCAGAAATTAGCAGCTAAACAGAGCAAGATGTGGCCTCGTCAAACTCGGCAGCGAGCACTTCAAGAAGCAGAAATTGAAGATCTCCTACAAGAAATTGCCCTGCGCAAACTACAGTTGTCACGAATTAAATGAAGGAAAGACTTGAGCCCTCTTGCCCGGGACTTTAATGGCGTTCAACTATGGGGCAATATACTCCCATGATGGTTTTTAGATCCCTCGTTCCAAGTACATCCTTACAAACCAATGACGATGACAAGGGCATCTCAGATGATCAGATCGTTTCCACCTAAAAAGAAGTGCTTGAAGGGCCACCTCATCGGTCTTCCATGAGACCCTTGATCGAGTCCAGCTTTGATGGATTTGAAGATCCGTTGCCGAAATCGTCGTCTTTGCCTCTCTGCTATGAGTCTGTGTATGACGTGTATGAGGACAACATATTTGGCGGAGTGCTTGGTGTTGATACGCCTATGAATAATGATGATAAGAGCACGCCAAATGTCCAGCCGGAACTATTCGCTTACAATGTTTCAAAAGTGACTGAGAAAGTGGAGGTGGCATCGCCTAAAGCAATGGAGGTCAGGGTTAAGATCAAGTATGCTTCGCTTTGCCTCACCGATCTGTACTTCGGGAGGCTAAGGACCGGACTCCCTTATTTCCCCGCATTTTCGACCACGAAGCCACCAGAATTGTTGTAAGTGTTGGTGAGGGTGTTACTGAACTAAAGGTAGGAGTACCAAGCAAGGATGCCAAGTTCATTACAAAGCTTATAAATTTAATGAATGAGAGGACTTTGAAAGAAACACAAATGGACCCAGATGCTTTCACCATCACAAGTATTCCATCAGCTTATGCTACTCTTGAGAAATTGAAGATTAGTAGGCAAATTGACACTGGGTGAAAATATCCAGACCAGTTTAGCCAACCAAACCCACCTCCTTATGATGGCCAACCAGATATCTTCTTAAGAGCCTGAAGTTCCTCTTACCCTAGTAGACTGACGCTGGAGTTGTGTTTGCACCCATTTTGGATTATGTCATAAACTTCAGTTATATGTAATTTTCTTTTATTCTTTTCTTGCCGTTGGTGTAGCCAACCCTGTGGTCCAAATTGTGTATAAAATAATTGATTAGTGAATAATAGGAGGATGATTAGTTTATGATTCTTAAATTCCTTTTGGAGTTGTTTTGTATCTTGACGTTCTGTCAGGTGGTGGTCATAGTTCCGTTTGTTAGGCCAGCTATGGAGCTCGACCACCGGATCATCTACGAGGAGTCGTCGAGCCCCCTCCTGTCCTGTGTCAATTGACCTCCATAATTCAAGTTTACCTTCAACTCCCTCTCTAGTCTTATCAAGAAGAATATCATCAGCAAAAAGTATACACCAAGGTACAACCTCTTGCAAATGTCTAGTGAGAGCATCTATGACTAAAGCAAATAGATTTGGGCTTAAGGCTAATCCTTGATGTAATCCAACTGGAATAGGAAAATATTTGGTCAAAACACCTTGTGTTTGAACACAAGTAACAGCTCTTGCATGTATATCTTTAATGACTTGAATATAAGCATTATTAACCCTTTCTTTTTTAAAACTCTTCATAGCACTTCTTATTCAATAAATATCATATGAAGATCCTCCTTATTCTCTTTATACTTCTCCATCAAACCTCTCAATAAATGTAAAATAAAATTTTATTATAATTCTGGCTTCAACTATTGTTATAGTTCTCTTCAAGAAAGATTAATATCTTTGACATCCTCATTGTCATATGACTAGAATTGAAAATTATACAATAGATTTTTTTTAGAAGTATTATTGGTGTAAAGTAAAAGGATTGCTGGAAAGGTAAGCAGTAAGATAAGAAAGAAGTAAAGGTAAACGCTGAAATTTTGTTAAAATCTTTAAGAAATATGCTGAATTATGAGTGTCCTGAATGGAGGTTTGCTGGAATTCAGGTTTTCTGCAATCAGTGTTTGGGTGTTGTTATCTTATTTATATCAGTTGTTGAATCCATTAGGGAAGAAGGGAGGAAGAGGAAAGTAGAGATGAGAAAATTGTGAATGAGGAGAAATTTAGTAGAGGTAAAGACTTCTATATATTTGAGTGTACCATAACATATTGTTTCATTTAAAGGTAAGAATTTTTATATTAAATTCCTTATCCTTTAGGTTGTTTATAAAAGGAAAAGAAGGAAAGATATTCTTGGAGAATAAATTCCTAGCGAGGTGAGATACCCAAATGATACATAAGAAATAGTAAATTTTTATATATTTGCAAATTCATATTTGTTATGTTATGATAGCATTTCTTTTTCAGTTTTTTACAAATTCATATTTTTATATATTTGTTATGTTAGATAGGATTCGACACAGCTCAAATAATCAAACAACGGTTGCGGCGTTGACCTAGATTTTTTTTCTTCATTTGTTTATATCAGGTCTTCAAGGTCTACAACAAGAAAAGTTTATTAATAAAGGCATAAATCTGGCTACGAACTTGATCTTTTGTTGGCTAATAGATAAAGTCGATAAGGCTCGACCAATCAAATGAAATTGCTTATAACTACCTCGATGATTGCCGTGTTGATGAAAAATCTCAACCCGAGGGGATCCAAAATATTTGAAAATGCCTCCCAAATTCCCATGAAAATTCAAAACTAAAAAATTACTAAAACTTAAATATTTAAAATTGAAATAAAAAACCTAAACATTTAAAACAAAATTCATCCACACTCCGCAATGATTTGCTGGGGTGGACAAATTTGAAAATCACTTCAACTCACAAAGGGGAAATATCTGATCGAGAATATCACTAGGATTCATTCTCAATACATCTCTTGCCAATAAAGACTTGCCACGTATTCTCTAACCGGTGGTTTACCCTCAAATAACATCACATATAAGTAGTAATGATCGGGATCCTTTGACCGGGTGATTTTGCCATTAAATGACATCATTAAATTACGGTTATTGTCAGAGCCCGTATGTTCCCCAATGGCTTCAAATCCTTAACTAATAAATCAATAGGATATGATCGATAGGGCATAAAGCCCTCTGTTAGCTAAGGTAGATTCGAATTTGCCCCCTTAGACAAGTATTCATCCTATGTTTACAAGATACCATTGTACGAAGCAACCCATGACTGCCGACAAGGATCCCTCTATTAGGCTGGGTCGACTACTTTCTCTGATTAAGTAGACTAGGGACCATGATGGCCCTGGACGACGGAACCATGGGATCTTGATCGGGTCTATAATCATCATCCCTCCACTATTCAGTTTGAGTTCAAGATGGTAAATTTCTAGTTTTAAACATTAAATTTTCAAATGCCTTAATCATGCTGCTACTATACATCGGATACTACGTATTTGTTTGATGATTAGCTTTAATTGAAAGTTCTATCTCGCTATCGGGAGAGGTAATTAACTATAGGAGCCTATAGAAAACATGAACTTAGATCATAAAGTCCTCGCAAATTGAGGGAAAAATATTGGGTAATGTGTTATCTAAAACCCAATCAGCCTTTTGAAAATTTACCTCGGAGCATACTCATTACAACTCTCCTTGACGCCCCGAAAAAGGAATGGGCAGTGAAGAGGCCAGGGCGCAAGTTTTTGGAGCCCACATTGGCAATACAAAGGATTAATTCTAGATATTTTCAGCATTCTAAATGCGGCAACCTGATCCATTTTTGTAAATTAGCGATAATTGAGTGTTTTGTGCAACGTTGTCATTCATAATTTTTGTTATGTTTGATCAACTTGATTATGAGATATATACGAAGGTCAAAATTTTTATGATTACAAAGTGCATTTGACAGGTGAAAATGTTGCAATTTATTCTTTTTGTACTTGTAAAAATTGAAGTTAGTAACATAGAAAGGACAGCTAAATTAGCGCTTGTTTAGTTCAGTTTAGTAATATGCAACCATATGTAAAAACCTAATCATTTGGTCTTCTATCTATTTGGAAGTGAAATTATTCCTTCGTTCTTTAAAGACGTGCAATACTCTTTTGATTCTTAAGCATGTACTTTTTTTGTTTAGGGTATAATTGTTGGAAAATGAAAACTCCATGGAAAAGCTCGAGGAGTTATCACAGACATGAATACCCATTTAAATTGATTTGTGGAATTTTAATGGAGTATGTGCTAAAATAACATCTTGACAAGCTTTTCTTTATAGAATATGATAACTTGATTTTTTGAACTTGTATGATTCCTCGATTTTTGTAGCTGCAATTTTGAATCTTTAATTGCTCTAATGCTCCGTTGAATTATTATTTAAGCTGTTGCAATATGGAAATTCATACTAATACTTCACAATGCTTGATTCATTCTTTATAGTTTTCATCTTCTTTTTTTTTTTTTAATACTATAGAAATGATGAGCATAGCTGTGTATGTATCTGGTTCTACTGACATTTTTCTTGTTTAAATGAATGCAGGTACTTATCATATCAGGTTTCTTAGTATCTGGTGAGTTTTCCATACCTTTTATGCCTTAATGACCCCATCTGGGCAGCGCATGGCCATCTTATTCGAAAAATAAGATTGTAGAAACACTCGTGGATGCTATATGTTCTCATAACATTCTAATCCAGGTATACTAAGAGAATTTGTAGTTTGTCTTCCATGGCTTATCCCCTTTAATGGCAATTTTAGCCATTAAGGGGCAAAATTACAAGTTCTCTTAACAAAGTTAATTGATTGTGAATCTATATGTGGATCTGTAAAACTATTTAATAAGTGATTAGGTTTTTCTTTTTTTTTTCAGAAGTTGATTATAATCCTATTTCTTAATCTGCAACAACTAACATCAAAATGTGTTGAGGAAATACAATGAGTTAAATGGTGCCATTCTTCATAATATGTTATTCATACATGTGGGTACAGAATGCGAAACTGAGTATATATGTGAAAAGTTGGAGTACCTCCAATGACTGATAAGATTATAGAGTTGTCTTAGATGATTTAATCACATAAAATGTTAGCCTTCTGATAATTTGATTAGGAGAGTAGATTTATTAGATCTGGCCTATATTAAAAAAGACAAAGTTAGACCTAAAAAGACTTGATTATAAAATATTAAAATGTCATTTTTTTATTAGATTTATATGAGAATTTGACTCTTAATAGAATACAATGGAGAATAAGGATTCATGTGCCAACCCCACGTAATGAGATAAAAATTTGATGTTGTTGTTCGTGATGCATGTGAGTCACAAGAAGGTTTGATAAAATTTCCTTCCCATTTTTCAATGGAGTCGGCTAAGGAAATTTTAATGAAAAAAATGCATTTGTACATAAGTTCATGGGAATTCTAATCATCTATTAGTTTTAATGAAATCAAACATTAATATGAAAAATACCATCAGCATTTTTTATTTTCATAAGCTATACCTTTAGCTATTTTTTCCCCTGATTTTATTCAAGATCGTTTTTTTTTTTACCTGTTATTTTCCAAATGCAGCCATTCTTATGGTGTGTGTGACAAAAGTAGCCAAGTCATCTTTGGAGAAGGCCTTGGCAGAGAACCCAGATGTGGAGAACCTTTTAGTGTCACCTCAGCTACCGATCACATCATGTCCTGCTGTCGACTTGCACAAACCTCTTATAATTAAGGTTGATCCTTCAAATGATGACCATGAAAAGTGAATATTTTTCAACTTGTACATTCTTTAACATCAACAAACAGTGTGGCTAGCAAATATTATATTTGTTGTATCAATACTGAGAGGGTGAGGCAGCTTAATGCTTTTTTAGGCCATCTTATTCTCATGGAATGTAATTTTCCTCATCTTTTTAAACAGAAATAACATCAAAGAATTTGCAAATGATGGTTTTTGTTTAAAAAGATTATTAATAGGTGTAAATATGCTTTTGATTAACAAGTTTGCTTTTATGAATTGTTGTCACTTGCTCCCACTCTTGTATAGTGGAAAAGGTTATTACGTGCGGATCTGAATTCATCTAAAGATCAATAAAAATGCGTCACGTCGCCCTCAAAAATGTATCTCTCTCGGTATCGAGCGCTCGGTACTGAGCGCGGAACCGGATGATTCTCCCGTCCGGTGTCCGCACAGAATAATCTCCCCTTGTAGTGGCCAGGAACCCTCTTAATCTTTTTACTTATTTTTTGATGTGGGCTCAGAAAAAAATATTGGCAAGTTTGATTTTATGAATTATTGTCAAGTTTGATTTTTTTTTTTAATATACTTGGCAAGCCTATGATACGAGTATTACTATCCAATGTGTTGCCTTCACTTGCAAGCCTAGCCCATGTCCTATTGTCAGAACCTACCTTCTAACGCCCGTTTGGCAGGATTTAGCAATAGCCTGTAAAATCTTGTTGCCAAATAGCCTGTAAAATCTTGTTAGCCTGTAAAATCTTAGAGAGAGAGAAGCTCCGGTATTTTGAATTAATTTTCAAATTTGTTTCTTTGTCTTCAAGTTGGGGGGTTTTCTGCTGAACATGGAGGATCGGCCTTCGACCACCAATGACGGCCGGAAGTGGATGCTTGATGCTGATAATTCGTCTGTCTCTGTCGTTCCACTGAATCCTGTGATTTCTCCGAATTCTTTTTGGACATGCTCCTCTGGTAATCAGAGAACCAACTGATGTTAAAATCCATTCGTCACCACCGGTTGCTGGTAAAGGCAAGCAAATTATGGAAGATATCAATGCGAATACTCCTCTTGGTGTTCATAGAATTACGAATGTGGATTCGTCTTCATCTGACATGAAGCTTTTCGTTAATAGGTTCGCTAATGCAAAACCTATTTTAGTTGCTGGAGGTGCTCTATTTACTCAAGGGAATGCGGCAAGTCCATCAAATATTTGTGATATTGCTTCTGAGATTGTTTCTTCAAAGGAACCTCAGGTTGGAGTTAAAGATATGAATAAACAAAGTTCTAGGAATCCTTGGTTGAAGCTTCCTTATATTAAGGCTAATATGCTGAATGTCGATTCTTGCTTTTCGGATGATGGTTTTGCGGTCAAATTGTTTGAACCGAACGTTCATGTCAATTCGATGAAGCTTCAATTCTCCGTTGTTGTGAAAGTTTTTGGAAGATTTATTCCTATCCAAGTGATAGCAGAGGAGTTGAGGCGTTAATGGTTGCAATTTGGGAAGTTTCACTTGACTTTTTTTGAATCAATGAAGAGTGTCTTATTCGGTGGGCTTTGGTTCGTGAATGGTCATATTGTTGGACTTGATAAGTGGAATCCTTGTTTCAGTCTGGATTCTAGCCTATGATACGAGTATTACTATCCAATGTGTTGCCTTCACTTGCAAGCCTAGCCCATGTCCTATTGTCAGAACCTACCTTCTAACGCCCGTTTGGCAGGATTTAGCAATAGCCTGTAAAATCTTGTTGCCAAATAGCCTGTAAAATCTTGTTAGCCTGTAAAATCTTAGAGAGAGAGGCTAGAAAGAGAGCTCTGGGATTTTGAATTAATTTTCAAATTTGTTTGTCTTCAAGTTGGCGGGTTTTCTGCTGAACATGGAGGATCGGCCTTCGACCACCAATGACGGCCGGAAGTGGATGCTTGATAATGATAATTCGTCTGTCTCTGTCGTTCCACCGAATCCTGTGATTTCTCCGAATTCTTTTTGGACAAATGCTCCTCTGGTAACCAGAGAACCAATTGATGTTAAAATCCATTCGTCACCACCGGTTGCTGGTAAAGACAAGCAAATTATGGAAGATATCAATGCGAATACTCTTCTTGGTGTTCGTAGAATTACGAATGTGGATTCGTCTTCATCTAACATGAAGCTTTTCGTTAATAGGTTCGCTAATGCAAAACCTATTTTAGTTGCTGAAGGTGCTCTGTTTACTCAAGGGAATGCGGCTGGTCCATCAAATATTTGTGATATTGCTTTTGAGATTGTTTCTTCAAAGGAACCTCAGGTTGGAGTTAAAGATATGAATAAACAAAGTTCTAGGAATCCTTGGTTGAAGCTTCCTTATATTAAGGCTAATATGCTGAATGTCGATTCCTGCTTTTCGGATGATGGTTTTGCGGTCAAATTGTTTGAACCGAACGTTCATGCCAATTCGATGAAGCTTCAATTCTCCGTTGTTGTGAAAGTTTTTGGAAGATTTATTCCTATCCAAGTGATAGCAGAGGAGTTGAGGCGTTAATGGTTGCAATTTGGGAAGTTTCACTTGACTGCTGAATCAATGAAGAGTGTCTTATTCGGTGGGCTTTGGTTCGTGAATGGTCATATTGTTGGACTTGATAAGTGGAATCCTTGTTTCAGTCTGGATTCTCTTAAGGGACTTTTATCTCCGATCTGGATCAGGATGCCAAACCTCCTCCTCTAATGTTAGGATGAAATTAATGTGTCTAGAATAGCTTCTATGATTGGTAAACCTCTTTTGATTCATGGTAACATGTTTCAATGGGGAAGAAGGGAGTTTGCCAGATTTTGCGTCCGAGTCGAGCTTGATAAACAACTTCCATTGGGCATTTGGGTGGAAGGAATGAATGGAAGATTTTTCCAAAAAGTGGAATATGAAAAAATTTTAATCATTTTGCTTCAAGTGTGAAAAGATTGGACACTTGGTTGATGCTTGCAATGTGCTAAAAAATGGAGAAGTTAATAAAGATATGGGGAAGGTGACCCAACAAAGCAAAATTGTGGAGAGAAATTGAGATATTGATATTAAGACGGATTCTTCCTGGTTATTGGTCAATAACAGGAAAAATAGAAGAAGGAAGGTTTGTTTCCTGATGAAAGAATTTATTCCAAAGTCTGGAGGTGTCTTTAAAGCACTGAGTTGATAATGCTATGCTTGTTGAACCTGGAAAAACTACAAAAACGGGAGACATGGTTGTGCCTTTGAATGGGGAGAAGGTTCTGAATGAACCTAATCAATTGAATAAAAATATCAACCATATTACTGATGTTGTTTTAAATGTTCATGTAGATGAGTCTTTGGATTTCAGTTCTGTAGATGCAGAAAAACCTTTGGAAGCAGATTTTTCTTTTGTTAAGTTAAATGAAGACAAATGATCTGTTATGTAAAAAAATCATGAAAGAACTGAAGAAGGCTGTTGGGAAACCTTTTCAAGAGGGACTAATTAATGAAGATGGGGAATCTGCTCAAGGTGTTCCTGTACTATATGGTATTAAACTTTGCCCTTCTCCTAAATTGAAAGTATTGGAAGAAAATTGGTATGAAGTTCTGAATTCTATATGTGAGGAAGATGTTATTTTAAACAAAACTGATGAGGATACTAGAACTGATGTGGAGGAAGGTGAATTGGTGGAGTCAGTTGATCATATTTATCTTGCTAAGAAGGATGGCTTGGCTATTTTCAGCAAAGATGATCCGTTGGATACCAAAGGTGATGGATTTGTTTGCTTAGGTAATGTTGTGGCTGGAGGACACAAACCTAAGCTTGCTAAAGAATTAAGGTCTCTTGGGCAATTGAATTCATCCTCCAGGCAAAGCAAGATGAACGTGATTAAAAAAAGGAGTGGGGGCTTTTCCCCCTTCTTGGCAAAATGAGTTCATTAGCCTTTTGGAATTGTAGGGGAGCTAATAAGAAGAAGGCCTCCTTGTATTTGAAAGAGTTTGTTAGGGACTGAGATATTCTATTTGTTGGTATTGTTGAAACAAAATATCATCCATCTCTAGAGATGATTTTGATAAATTCATGGGAGTAGGTTTGGATTACATGCTTTTCCCATCTAGTAGGATGTCTGGAGTTATCTTGGCTTTATGAAGATCTTGTTTGGCTTCTTTTACTTTGTTGGAAGCGTCTGCTCAATGTGTTGTCGGAGAGCTAAAGATTTTTAATAAAGGATTATGGGTGGTTTCTACTATCTATGGCAGTAGAGACTTGTATGGTAGAAGAAGGTTATGGGATTGTTTGGAGCAACATTCAAGGTTTGAGATACCATATGTGGTTGGGGGAGATTCAACTGCATCTTTCTCAAGATGACAAAAAAGGAGGAAAGAAATTCTCTTTTTCAAAAGGCCCATTGGAGATGAAAAGTTTTATGAATAAGACTTATTTACATGATATTGGAATTCTTTGACCTAAGTATACATGGTGCAATAACAAGAATGGTACTGCTCGTATTCATGAAAGACTAGATAGATGTTTGTTGAATTCCAAGGCATTGGAATAAATTCATTAGGCTTCAGTTAGGCACCTGGCAAGGGTTGCTTCGGACCACTGTCCCATAATTTTGAAGATTTTTATTAAATCCAATTGTAGCAGGAGGAATTGGAGGTTTGAAGATGTTTGGTTGTCTTACCCGGCAGCAGCTTCAGTGGTGATCAGATCATGGAGTCGGCGGACAAGTGGGAATGTTATGGATAGTTTGAACAAAAAGTTTTCAATGGCAGTAAAAGCTTTATACTTTTGGAGAAAATCAAAACATCAGAATTTAGAAGATTTGAAGGTTAAGTTGAAAAAGGAAATTGAAGAGCTGTAGTTAGAGGAATCTGAAGATTAGAACTTTTCTCAGGATAAACTTATTCTTCTCAGGTCGAAGATCAATGAATTCAATTGTACTCTTGCTAGATTGTGTACTTGGTGAAGACAGAGGGCAAAAGGTAAATTGGATATGTGAAGGTGATGCAAATTCAAGTTTTTTAATGCATTTACTAATGGTCGCAGGAATGGAAATCATATTAAGCAAGTGAGGAATGATATGGGCTTGATGGTGGTGGATCCCGAAGCTATCAGGGATATTTTCTTGGATTTCTTCAGCAAAAAATGGAGGTTTAGAGATTATTGTTTGTATGGTTGGCCACCTAATCCTAATACATTAAGTCAAAGGGATTGTGATATCCTTAGTGCTGATTTCTTGCTTGAAGAAATGGAGGCTGTGATTAAAGATCTGGGTAATAATATCTTGCCTGGTGTTGATGGCATTCTTAC